GTTTCGACTGTCCTTGTTTGCTTTCAAACATTATGTACAAGAGCAGGATTAGCACCAGTGAGAACAGCAGCAACTGTGGCTGAAGGTGAAGAAAACAAGGATGTTAAAGCTACTCCCAAAAAAGTATATTATTTATTCTGTTCATTATGCCGATGGAGTTCTCGAGATGCAGGAATACCTGATCAATCCGTAGGTAAGAAAATTATCATTGGTAATAAAAATATAAATAACAATTTTAAAATATTTTTCTAAAAATATCTTGAATTTGTGCTCATAGCAACTGGAGGATGGCCCGAGCAGGAAAATCCACATGTAATTCGTATTAATGCTCTTATTGATTATCATAAGATATTGGCTTCTATAGAGAAACAACAGTGTGAAAGAAAGAAATTTCATCCAAAACGTTCTTTTATGCCAGCTGTAAGTTCAGTAAGAACTAATTATTTATTTGCTCTAAGATGTTTTTCGAATTATTTTCTAATTACTTTTGACTTGCCAATAGCAGACAATGTACAGTTTTACATCAGCACTAGTTCGCAAGCGTATCGGACGTCCCATAAAACCACCAATGCAATCTCAATCGTCTGCTCAACCAGTACCATCCGTTGCAAGCGAGGAAGTAGAGGAATTACCGGGAGATATATTTACAGAATCTGTAGATATAACTAAAAGTAAGAAAGCTATTAACATGTAGCATAGATTTTGATACAAATCGACATATATATAATTATATATTTTATTATAAACATATTATTAATATATTATTATAAATATTATTATAAATAATTTTGTGTAACAGTTACTACGTTGGAACAAAGATTACAGCATCCAGAGGTGCAAGCTGAGAAGATAAATGAATTACGCCCTCAGCACAGACAGTTTTTGGTCAAACGATCACAACGTTGCAGAGTGTGTGAACATAATGTTAGCAAATCGGATCTCTGCCCCCAATCTACAAAATTCAAGATTTTATTAGCTGCATTGTAAGTATTACATTAAAGTATCAATCATTGATTAATCTAAGATTAATCTAAGATAAGACTTAATCTTGACTTATATTTGTGCTTATGAAGCTTTATGAAAATCAAAATTGTTTTTTGTTTTTTAGTTATCATATTCCAGAAGTAAAGATCGTTACTTGCGAACCACTTCGACCAGGGAAATCAAGTGAATTGCTTCTTAAATTCTGCAATCCAACGCAGCATCAGACTCAAATAACTATTCTGCATTTAAATACTTCGTTATCTACTTCACTGATTGAAGAAAAAGACGCTAAACAGGAGGATACACAAGTAATGTATCGAATATTATAACATTTTTTTATAAAACATTTTATGAAACATTAACATTTTAATATTTTGATTATAATTATAGGGAAGTGAATCTCCAAATTTGCTGCCATCTGCTGTACGGCAAGCACCTGTGACAGAAGATCCTAAACCAATAAAAATTATACCAAATGCAGATTTGCTGCTGCCCCACAGCTCATTTATACTTCCACCAAGAGATGATGCTGCTGAATATGATGATACAAGTGATAATCATAATTTTCAAGATGATCCAAAGTATGTAGAATATAAGTGTACATGTTACGTAAAATTAATACATAGATAATATAGATTTTATTGTTTATGCAAATTTTTTAGGCTTGTAGTATGGCGTAAAGGGAACAAAGCTGTAATACGTTTATACGTAACTCCGCACGATGCTAATAAAAATAATGAAAATCCAATTACAGTTGGATTTGTCATGCAACATGGATACGTAAATACCATTGCAGCATTGGAACATAAATCACCACAAAAGGTAGATGTAAAAGTGAAGTTATATCTTAATGTTGGTCAATTAATTCGTGAAGTATAATTTGTTTCAATTTGGGATGATTACAGAGATACAGAATACTCTGTATATGAATGCTTTATAATTTTTCGCTTATATAATAGCTCATGAAATTATAATATTAAGGACGTTTAAATATTTATAATTCAATGTATTATCTTATAGTATATTTATCGGTACTAAAAACATAAAGCGTATGATGCAAGTTGTTAATCCATATACATACAAATTTTATATACTTTTTCAAAATTTATTATTAATTTATTTATAATTAAATTTATCATATTGTTCTATATTATATAATTAAAAAAATCGATTTTTACATTAAGAATTTTCATATATTCGTTATCACGCGAAATTGTTTCATAAGGATATTGTAATAAGTATATAAAGCATAATTTTATAGAAATAATCTGTATAAAAAAAAAATTGTGCAGTATTTCACAAGAAACACAATGTCTTTTTTTCTTTTAAACATTTATTGAAAGATAATAAAGAACATAGAAGGCCATAAGAATAGTTTATAGCCTACGTCCACGACGACCTCCCTTCCTGCGAGTGGAATCCGATGGAATAGGAGTGACATCTTCAATACG